GGTCCTTTACGTTTGCTACAGTTTCAAACCTGTGGTGTGAGGCATGAGAACTGATCCTAGTTACCACACAATGTAGTGCAAGGTGTTCTTGATTATTTTAAAGGTGTGCTAAATGTGACAAAAGCCAAATTGTTTACATTGTCTATCCCACATGATAACTTAACATCAGGAACAATGTCCAGCAGTTTTTAAGTGCAAGAATCAGCTGTGAGCACTTTTTCTATCTGCTGTATCTTCAGTGCACAGTCCTTACAGGAGACAGTAATTTTGACATGTTTCCATGTTAGTGAAAGGAAAGAAAACCTGTTGGCTCAAAACGCACTTAGAATAGAAGCCATTGTGCAGATGCTAAAGCACCACTCCACTGACTTCTGCTGTGAGTGTAAATTGTTTTTTGTTCTTTTCTAAGCAAAATTATTGACTGTTGTAACTGATTGTACACCAGAGATGAGTCAGTGACAAGTATGGTATTCAAAATGATCTCTTAAAACTCTTATTAAAAATTATATGATGTGCAGTTTTGTATCTGCAAGAATCTATTCAGTGTGTTGATATTTGTTTCTTTTATATTTATATATATATATTATAATATTATATTCTTTTGTTATGCTTTTGTAATGGATCATCAATTTTACCCAGAAAAGTGGTTGGTATAACTGTACATTTAAAAAATGTATATTTAAAAGTCGACTGCTGAAAACGTGTATAAACTATTCTAGTCTACTTGGACACCTGCATAAACCTTTGTCCTTGAACTCAGCTTTATATGCACATTTCAGATAAATACATTATATATATATATATATATATATATATATATATATATATATATATATATATATATATATATATATATGTAAAATCATAAAAAATATAAAAAATAATTGTGAAAAGGGGCTACTGACCTGAGCACTGTACCGTAAAGTTCACTTGGGGTCATCCATGGTGCAATAGCTTTCTCAAAAGCATGTCAAAAATAAAAGTTTTTAATGTTGGTTATGCCGCATGATGTTTGAGGAAGTCGAAATTTATCGACAAAAATTTAGAGTTGAATAGTTTTAAATTTTTCAACATGTTATTTTAAAATTTGGAGCACAAAATCATGCTACCCTATTTTTCCTTTAGAATTGTACATGACAAATTTATCTTTTTAAGAGTTTCCTTCATCTGTATATACGGTGAACGAGGCGATGCATTTTGATGCACTAGAAATGTATTCACATAAAGGAGGTATTGAATAGTGTGATTATGTATTTATTGAATTATTTAATAGGAAGATAAAGGACTTGGACATGCACCTCATGTCATTGACCCAGACGCTCCAAATAAAGATTAGGTTGAAAAAATGCATTAATATTTCTTAAAGCGTAGCCACTACTCCATCACAGGAAAACAACAGTGATGTTTTCCTCTGTCTCTCTGTGAAGATGCTTCACTTTTATCATAAACAGTCTGTCATTGCTCTAAAAGTCTGTTTTCCTCTGAATGTGAACGAAAGTCTCGAGATTGCATTTTTGTGTGAGACGTAATGTGTAAAAGTGCGAGTATGTAAGAAAGAGAGCAACTGTGTGCATGTGAGGAAATATTCACACCTATGCTATTTTTAAGACTGCTTCTCACGATGATGAAAGCCAAATTTGACGCTCATTTCAGTCAAAAAGAGTAATAACATTTCTTTGCAAAGGCACAAATAAAGACCAGGTGAATGACAGTAATAAAGTTAGTAAGGTTCAGTTATTTGCTTCATGCTTTCAGTGACTGTCTGACTTGACTGAGCGCCTATCTGACTGAATGACTGACTTGAGTGACTGTCTGACTGAATTACTGACTGACTGACTTGAGTGACTGAATTACTGACTGAATTACTGACTGACTGACGTGTGACTGTCTGAATGACGAGTGACTGTCTGAATGATTAACTGACTGAATGACTGACTTGAGTCACTATCTGACTGAATTACTGACTGACTTGACTGAGTGACTGAATGAATGACTGACAATGTCTGATTTGACTGAGTGACTATCTGACTGAATGACTGACTGAATTACTGACTGACTGACTTAAGTGACTTTCTGAATGATTAACTGACTGAATGACTAACTTGAGTGACTGTCTGAATTACTGACTGACTGACTTGACTGAGTGACTATCTAACTGAATGAATGACTGACAATGTCTGATTTGACTGAGTGACTATCTGACTGAATGACTCTTGAAAGAGTGACTATCTGACTGAATGACTGACTTGAGTGACTGACTGAATTACTGACTGACTGACTTGAGTGACTATCTGACAATGATTGACTAGAATGACTGACAATATCTGACTTGACTGAGTGACTATCTGACTGAATGAATGACTGACAATGTCTGATTTGACTGAGTGACCATCTGACTGAATGACTCTCTTGAAAGAGTGACTCTCTTGAAAGAGTGACTATCTGACTGAATGACTGACTTGAGTGACTGACTGAATTACTGACTGACTGACTTGAATGACTATCTGACAATGATTGACTAGAATGACTGACAATGTCTGACTTGATTGAGTGACTATCTGACTGATTGACTAAGTGAGTGTTGCTGCGTTCACATGTTTGCGGCAGATGGATGACGGCAAACCGGATTATTCATTGTTTTCAATATAGCAGCAACAGAAAATTCTGCCACCCTAAGCATCAACTCTGCAGACTGCAGCGGTGAGCAGAACGCTCCATCAAGAGTTCAATTTTTCCAACTTTTGCCGTCGACTGCAGAGGTGGATTAAACCGGATGTTGTTCTTTTGGGGGAGCCATAGATATTGACTGAGGAGATTAAAAACTTGGATAAGAGACAATAATCTGGGTGGACTGAGGTTGGATCAGCAGCATGAGTGTAAGGTCACCATGTCTGATGCCAAGCATTGGCCAGAGAGGTATAAAGCCCCCCAGCGTTGGGCTGTGGAACAGTGAAACTGAGTTTTCTGGATTGATGGAGCGCCATCAAATAACTAAGATAAGCTATAGTGATCCAGAACTGATCCTCCAACATCATTACCTGACCTCACTAATGCTACTGTTGCTGAAAGCAACCAAATCCTCACAGCAATGTTCCAACATCTAGCGTAAAGCCTTCCCAGAAGAGTAGGGACTGCAGCAAAGTGTGCTGGAGTACAGAGCCAAACAAACACTGTCCAGTTCCTATTGAACTGTACTTCATATCAAACCATGTATCATGAAGATTTCAGAGATTTTATGATGAAGTTCATCCACCAGGTGTCACTGGAGATCTTTTGGATAAAACAAGTCTAAACTGGTCAACAGGTGGCGACAAATCAAAAATGAATGAATGAATGAATGAATAAATAAAATCCTTGCATGCAAGTTGAAGTAACAGACGCCATCTGAGCGTTTTTGCCGTTGTAAAATCTCCACTGGACAAAACAGGACAGGGATTATAGCTCGACATAGACTTTGGCCTTTATGGTGCTGCAGAATGAGTCTCCCCTCATAATAAGAGCGTCTGTGAAGCTGCTCCCAGATCAGTTTGAAATCCCCCCACTGACAGCGGGATTACTGCTCTGATTGCATGTTCTATCCAGGCAGATGAACACTGGGGATGATCCTGTGTGGTTTTGTTAGTAGTTGGAGTTTAATACAGTGTATTTTTGATTTGATTTTACTCCTCGATACAGCATAGAAGTTTACAGTATAACTGCATCATAAACCCGAGGACCGAGGTCAAGATTTACCTGAAGAGAGAATTACTTAAGTTTGACTCGTGAACGATTCGTTCTGGTGAACCGACTCACAAGTCTAAAAGAATCGGACTTTTTAAAATAACATTTACGTGGGCTAAAATATAATAAAATTCCACCATCGTTGCCTACAAGTCGTGAAATGATAAAATAACACATTACCGTGCGTTATCAGTTTACACTGGTTGGACGTTCAAGTTCGAAAGAATCGATTCGATAAAGTGAATCAAACGAGTGAATAGACACAGTTTACAGTTGGCAAGCTGAGCCAATGTTGTGCCGCGCTATCACCACCCCTCTCTCTTTCTCTCTCTCTCTCGCTCTCTCTCTCCCGTCTCCCTCTTTCTTTCTCTCCGCTCCTTTCTCTTTCTTCTTCAGCCGGTTAATCACTTTTCCTCTCGTTTCCAGCGTCCGCGGGGGAAAAAACGAGCTGATTTCTCACGCTGACAGGGCGACGGTTACTGAGAAATCTGGACGGATAAAGACCACCATCGCCAACTCGCTCGTTCGCAAGATTTGATTGGCTGATCCAGTGTAAACACGGCCGCTGATTGGTCCAGAGTTTAGCGCCTAACGGCCAGGCAGCGGCTTCCTCACTTTCTCCTGACTGCGGGCGCTCGTCGAGGAGACGCGGGCAGAGGCGAGGAGTTGAAGTCGATCTTCTGTCATGGGAGGTAAACAAATACTCGCTTTCTCTTTCGAACTAGCTCGGAAAAGTTATTCTACCTCAGACTGGCTTCGTTTTGTTTACCTCGTAGTTCGGTTTAAGGCTCTCGTCGAGTGAAAACCAGGGTCTCTCCTCAGCCCCACTTCATGACTGGATTCTCTAACCTAGCTTGTGTTGACTAGCTTGCTAACCAAGAAATGACGTTTTAACGGACCACTTTTGGATCAGTTCGTGGACTGGCTTCTCCAGAAAAGGGGCTAATTTTCCACTTACAGCTGCAAACAATGCTTTGCTGCCCTGAGAGAAGCTCGCCTTGAGCAAGAGACCCGGCTGTGTGCTTTTACTAGAGCATCCTGGGCTGAAACATCTCCTATGAATACTGCATGAGCTTGTATGTGGTGAGGGCTTTTCTTGGGAAGCTCTCACAAAAATGGTTCTCACAAACCTTTTCACGCCGCGGTGTTATGGACTTGAGGTCAGGAAGTAAAGAGCGTCTTTCTGTCCAACACATGCTCAAATGAACCTTCTCCTAGTGCCACTGCCGGCGACCTCTGTCCTACAAGCTGTGGACGCCTGACTGGTCAATGTGGCGAGGATGGGGACCAGGCAGTCCAAGGACTCAGAGGCAGGCTCCAGCCCGCTGCAAGGGGTGTGGAAACGGGCTCAGGGCTCCCTTCTGCTCCGCTCATCCTCCGTTGACCGCTCGGAAAGCTCCGGGGTGCCACCACCCTACAAGCGCCGAGTTAGCATGATACAGGACATGTTGCTGATGGCGAAGGAGGGCAGGCAGGAAGAGGCCACGGAGCTGCTGAAACACCTGAGACAGGTGAGTCGCTTTGGCGCAGACTTGACCGTGAGGTGAGAAGCAGAGATACAAGATGGTGGTGCACTCGTTCCTAGAACAAGAGAGGAAAAACAAGAAAGAAAGTGCCTAAACACTCACTGGCCAATTTATTGGAAACTGGTGTACAGAGACTGTCACCCATCTGTTGATGCACTATTTGTGTTAGCCATCCTCTAAACCCAGGGGTGCCCAATCCTGGGCCTGGAGATCTACCACCCTGCAGCGTTCGCTAAATCTGACACACCTGATCCAGGTAATGAAGGGCTTCAGGAGCATCTGAATATTAGGGCCAAGTGTGTTGGATTGGAAATCTTTAGTGTGGTAGATCTCTAGGACAAGCATTGGGCACCACAGCTCCTCATCAGTTCCTGACCACTTATGAACAGAGTTCCTATCCAGTTTTCGTTCGTTACTCCAAGGCCCGAAACATATGCAAGGGACGCCAATGCAGATGCTTTGAGCTACGCAGACGGGGTTTAATACGTAGTTGTGTTCCACAGTGTGTCACGACACATTTAATAACGCAACGCAAGCGCGAGCTGCAATCTGAGCATAACAGCAAGGGGCGCTATAACTACAGCCAAACCTGTCTAAGCGGTCTTGTTCCACTAACATGCTTTCTCAACCGCCATAGCAGCCGAGCAGACTCTCACGCAAAGATGACATAAACATAAAAAATATAATACATTATCCTCTTTCTATTCCAACAGAAGAGGTAATGCAGCTCGCTGTCCTCTACTTGTTCACGTTTAGCTGTTGGAATAGCAGTAGAACCCTCTGTGATTTGTCCTCTGTCGCCCCCTTCAGTACTGAGTGTTTTAACCGCTACAGTAACATAAGAATGCACAGTAAAGGCCTCAGCATACTTCTTGCGGAGACGACCTTCGCCTGGCTCCAGCGAATAATCTGACTTAATTGTGGAGAAAACGAACAACTGCAGATGTCGTGCAGAGGCTTCGTTTGCCATGTCACGCACATGGCAGCTGGGCGAACTCTGCGGACAAGATGGTACGTGACAAAGCCTGTGATTGGTCAGTAAAAAGGAGGCGTGCCATGAAACAAAGATGGACGACTTTGAGGAGCTTCGTTTCTCAAGAACTATGCTAAGCGCTTTGGCAGACACACCACAGTTTCACTGTAAAGCGCACATTTGTGAAATTAAAAAATGAATACCTCCTAAATGGAAGATGTTTAAGTCTATTGTTCAGTAGTACTAATTAGTAGTGAGCACCAAAACATATAGGTTATCTTATATTTAGGTTCACAGGCTAAAGGTGGCTTTGTATTTGCCAGCTTCTTGCTCGAATTTTCCCGTTCCACCTTAAATGGACTCGCATGTGTAATAGAATTGTTTTCCATTAGTCATGGAACTTATCATATAATGTCAGGACCAAGCGTTTGCAATGCGTCACTTGCATTGAGTATGTTTCTGGCCTAAGAGTCCAGCTGTTTCTTCCCTGTACCTCTCTAATGTTTGCTCATTCGATAAAAACCTGGACTAACATTAACTCAGACTGTAACTGACTAACTGGAGACGAGTGATTACTGAAAGAACTCTAGTCTCAGCCACTCAGGTAAAGAGCTCCTGTTAGCACTGTTTGTACATAGTGTTATCTGCACTTATCTGTGGCATATCAATGAAACTAATACCTTATTCCAACTGGTATATCACACACTACTTCAGCCTCCCTTCAATACTGCCATTACTGGTTTCATTACTACTATTTGTCAGTCAGCACCACAAGTATGTTGCTTGCTTTGGTTAAGTTCTATCTACAGGTGCGCACTGAGTAGCACATCAGGAAATGCGTCATGGTATCATTAATCAGTTCGCCAATATCAGTGCAACCTGTATTTGTACCAGTGCCTCCACCTAAATAATATTAAAATTTCACAATATTGTGGAAAATACAGAATAATATACAAAACAATAATGACATAAACATCAAATAACCTAAATATCGGCATAACGCATAAAACAAAAACATGCAAATGTGTAAGCGTATTGCTGTTGTTGGAAGAAAACCTTCTATCTCCAAAATTTACAGGTGAAGGAAAAAACACACTCTACTTTTAATGTAAGTCAATGTAACCAGACCTTTCGTCCAAGTAATTTTGGGGCACTTTTTTGGTCCATTCATCATGAACTTTAATGAACGGCAACAGGTACTTTCAAATTATGTCAAAAAACTGAAAAAGTCGTCCATAAATACGCCATAAAAAACCTATTCCATATTTTAGTGCCCCTAAATCTTATTGAAAATTGACCTCTACAAGTGAGAAATTTAGGAAAATGAACGTCTAAAGATTGACTTCAATGTGGACATCAATTCACAATATAGTTTTTATTTGTTTAGATCTGTTTGTATTTTTTTTAAATGTTGGTTTATTGTAACTGCTTTACTGCCTCGACAAATTACTTTACAAATCATTTGCTCTCATTTTCTCAGATGCCTTTAGACCACATGTGTCAGGCTCCAGTCCTCACGGACCAAAACACTGCAGACTTCAGCACACTGCATCATTCAACACACCTGATTCAGCTCAGCAGCTAATTAGCAAGGCCTTCATGAGCTGAATTCAGAGCGATAGATGAGGGTAAATGCTGATCTCTGCAGCCCTTTGGCCCAGAAGGTCCCCAGTTTGACATGCCTGCCTTAGACTTAGTTTATGTGTATGTTTATAGAGATGGGCGATAATAAGAAATAAGTTTTTACGATACACGGTATGATGTGATATTTAGTTTTTTTGAGGTTTGACAAGTTGGAGCCAGATTTAAACAATACTCTCAAAGTTTATGAGTATAAATTAGTTTTATTCAACATTTTATCTACAGCACTGCACTAAACTAAGTTACACAGGACTAATAATGCTTTCTTTTAAGGAAACATGCAGTTGGTCGGTGTCCATAAAGTACTGCCGATTTCCATGACATGCTCATAAAAGCATATTGCGTGTAATTCATCACAATAAATATCATCGTATTGCCCCCCCTACATGTTCATTTACAGCCTGTGTAAAAGGCTGATTATGATGTTTTGTGCATCAGTGCAGAATCTTCCATGAGAGAACGGAGGGAAATGCTGATAAAGGCCTGCAGCCATGCAGAATGTCAATGAAGCCTTTTAAACTAACTAACTCCCCTCACACACATAGAACACGTACACTCTCACACTTTCATCCATCTGCCCCGCCTCTCCTCGCCCTCCGTTTCTGAGTGTGTGTGTATGTGTGCCTCGGTGGTGTTTAGAGCGAACAGTAAATCAGCCTCGATCGCCCGAATCACTCAGCCAGCATCACACACTCAATCACTCACTCACAATGAATAAACTCTCTCTCACTTCTCTCTTCCCCTCCTCCTTCTCCCCCCTAGAGAGAGAGAGAGAGAGATAGAGAGATAGATAGATAGATATTTTGGCACAGTTGCAAAAAAAATCGAAATCTCCAAAATAGTAACTTATAAAACATTCTTAAGTTTGACTGGAAGTAAATAGAACAGTCTCTCTTTCTATCTCTTCTCTCTCACTTTCTTTCCTTCTGTTTCTCTGACTTTTTCTTTTTCTCATCGTCTCTCTCTCTGTCTGTCCTCCATCTTTTTTCTCCTCGCTCTGTCTTTCTCGCATCATTCTCTCTCTCTCTCTCTCTCTCTCTCTCTCTCTGTCTCTCTCTCTCTCTCCCGCATCTCTTCTGTCTCTCTTTCTTTCCTTCTGTTTTTCTGACTTTTTCTTTCTCTCATCGTCTCTCTGTCTCTTCTCTACCTTTTTTGCCTCCTCACTCTGTCTTTCTCACATCTCTCTCTCTCTCTCTCTCTCTCTCTCTCTCACTCACTCTCTCCCTCTAGGTGTTTAATGCCAGTGCTTCGACTTGTAAAGTATGGATTTAAAGGGAAGTGAAGGGGGTCTGTGGCCTTCTTTGCTCCATCTGACCCCCCTGTCTCACCGCACCAACCCACACCCCCACACACACACACACACATATAACTGTGCTGTTTATCAGAAACTGAGCACCCGAGAGGACGGAGAAAAGGACTCCACGATGCATGAATATTTCATGCAGTCATACATTCATTAGTGTGTGTGGAGAAATGCAGAAGACCCTCCTCTATATGCATAATTGTCCTCATTCTTATAAGATTCTGCTTTTCACTTTCAATTTTTCAGCAGCAAAGCCAATCTCCAAATATCCATCAACCCATCAACGCCACAAAATAGACTCGGAACAGAAAACTAGGGATGACCGATTCAGCCTTGGTCTCTCCTGATGCCAGTACCTGACCGATAAAGAGTACTGATCTGATACCAGCAGGGCTGTGATGATATATGTATTTTCAGGTTTCATACACTTTTTCGGTTCTGAGGTAAACATTCAATTACATTTACTCTGATGTCACAGAGCTCTAATTACATACTACACAGATTGGTTTGGCCACATCACTCTCTCACATTAAAAACACTAAAAATCAGAATAAAGCTCTGTCATTTCTTGGGTGTGTGCATAGCTTAAGCCTTATGCCTCTCATTCCCAACAAACTTAACTGATTGGATGCACCAGATACCAGTTGTGATCGCTGTGTGTGGTTTCCACCAAAGTTTCTCTATTATGACTGTTACCCCCTACATACATGCTGTTTTTTCTTCTGTGGAATAGCTTGGGATCACTCTTCTATGCATAAGGCAACATTAGGCTATAACTAGGCATCACAATTCAACTGTAAAAGAAAAAACTAATAAATCCAACCAGAAACAAATGTGTATAATAAAATAGGCGACTTGATAATGGCTAGCATGTGATTCCTCTGAAGCCGGGGTTACACTACACGACTTTACCCAGATTTTAGCCCAGATTCTCAGTCTGGCCGAGTCTGTTCTAGTTGGCTCCAGTCTGCAGATTTTTGGGTCAGTCAGAGTCAACAGTTAGAGAGTCAAGTCGTGTGTGAGGGACGCAGACTCAGATTTTTGGCCTCCCTATCGTGTTTCAGACCAGTCAGAGTTTATCAAACGTTTGATTTTTTCGACCCAACTCTGAGCAAAATCTAGTGTGAACCGGTCAACGACTCCTGCAGCAGCCAATTAAAACTGAGAGCGTGAAAAAAGAAAATACAGCAAGTAAACAAAGAAAAATAGTGAAAAGTCTCTCACGTGTGGAACGAAGCTTTTTAATGAGCTATGTTTAAGGCATGAGCACAATCGAGTTTATGTATGTTTAAAACTTTAAAAAAATACCGAACTGATCACATTTTTAAATCAATGAGCCTCACTTAAACATGTTTACCTGCTGCTTCTTTACTGCGTTAGTGCAAACGGCAGAGAAAACAGCAGCAGCTGCTCCACGTTTGTTTATTTGGGTCTTCTAGTAACGCGAGAGTTTGCGAGAGTTTGCGAGAGTTTGCGTGAGTTTGCGGGATTTCAGTGAGTTCTGTTCGGTTCAGCAGCAGCAGTTGAGTAGTGTGTGATCACTACTTGTTTAGTATGTGATCCCTGATATTTCAGTCGCCCAAAAAAATCTGCAAAAACCAGTCTGAGAGTGTGAGATGCCCAGTCTTTTATAATCTGTTCAGACTTTAAAAGTCATGTAGTGAACCCAAGGCTTGAGACACTGAGCTGTTGTTTTAGTTTTTATTTTGCACCTATTAGGTGGTGAATCATAAAGAAGTAGGTCTAAAGATGTAACTGAAGCCTATTTGATGCGTCTGTTTGAGTCAAATTCAATGCGAATGCTACTTGAAAAGATTGGCTAAAGCAGGGGTGTCCAGTCTTGTCCACAAAAGGCTGGTGTGGCTGCAGGTTTTCATTCCAACAAAGTAGGAGCTCACCTGATTCTACTTATTAATCAGTTGGTGTCAGTCTTCAAACAGTTATTCAGGTTAATTATTGAATATCAATCAAGACTGAGACCAACTGATTAAATGAGGAATGATCTGTGCTCCGGCTTGTTGGGAACGAAAACCTGCTGCTACTTCATTCTGCTGCAGATAAGACTGGACACCTATAGATCACACATAGGCAATAGACATAAAATCAAGATGCAGAAAACAGGTTAATAATCGAAATTGATTCAAATCGTATGAAGCCTAAAGATTCCCATCCTGGTATATCAGATCGGTGCATTACTAAAACACTGAATGGAGGATTATAACAGATGGGCCTTTAATTGGATCACACGCAGGTAGAAGAGTGATTATTATGTATTTGGGTCTTTGTGAGCGCACACTTCATTCACATGCATTGCTCCCTCCCTGACCCTCACTTCCCTTCTTCCCTAGAGCGCTAACACACACACACACACACACACAGCGGTTCGGGCGCTCCTCTCGTTTCTCTGATATGCCTTCCTTCGGCTTTGATTGGTGGACGTGTGTTTCATGTTTCTCTTTGGCCGCTGAGTGTGTTTCCAGCCTGACTGCCATTTTAATGCTAATACTGATGCTAATGCTCTCTCTTTCACTGTTTCTCTTCATCCTTCTCTCTCCCTCTCTCTCTCTCTCTTTCTACATGTGTTTATATATGTGTGTACATATATGTGTTTATACAAAATCCCTCTCTCTTTTTCATCTTGCTCTTTCCTTCTCTCTTTCTTTCTCTCTCTCTCTCTCTCTCCCTTCTCTTTCTCTCTTTACCTCTCTCCAACTTAGTCTTGAGGTCTCTCATTCTCTCACTCTCTCTCTCTCTTTTTACTGAGACCCTTATGTTTTGACTGTGTAACACTTATGCACCTGTGCTCTAATTCAGTATCTCTCTCTCTCTCTCTCTCTCTTTCTCTTTCTCTCTCCAACTCAATCTCAAACTCTCCCTCTCTCTCTTTCTCTCCCTCTCTCTCTCTTTTCACTGAGGCCCTTACGTTTTGGCTGTGTAACACTTATGCACCTGTGCTCTAATTCAGTATCTCTCTCTCTCTCTCTCTCTCTCTCTTTCTCTTTCTCTCTCCAACTCAATCTCAAACTCTCCCTCTCTCTCTTTCTCTCCCTCTATCTCTCTTTTCACTGAGGCCCTTACGTTTTGGCTGTGTAACACTTATGCACCTGTGCTCTAATTCGGTATCTCTTTTTCTCTCCCTCTCTCTCTCTCTCTCTCTCAAACACAAACACAATCAAGCGAAAGAGGAGCATTGTGACCCAGGCCACATTTCAAATTGCTGCCATAAAGGCTCCTTCATTTCCACGATGCACATCAGCACAGAACCCAACTACTCCTCTGACCAGTCCTGACCATTTCAGATAGCTGTCAATGCGAAGGTGATTCACATGTAAAGCAGAATCTAGGGGACGGTATTTTCGGGACGGTATTTTCGGTATTTCTGTATTCATGGACAAAGCGGCATCAGTGTACACAGCTGTACATCACCATATGTGTCACAGGAAAACATGTTTCTAAGACACATACAGAACCAGTTTGGATACAGCGACTGACTTCAGCGAGTTAACGGGAACATGATTCAAGCTGAGATGCTCAGTCGAGTAGGGTTAATGAAACTCATTTGTATGTTTCATTACAAAGAGGGCACAGTTAATTGTTAATAGGCTTGTTTAATTGGATTTAGTGCCACACAGTATCTAGAACGTTGAATAAAAAACAATGTGGTGATAGTTTTTGGTTTCTTCATATATTATGATACCACCCCTAATCCTTATGTGTCTGTTTATAGGATTTAGGAATGGAGTCGACGTCTCTGGACGATGTGCTGTACCGATACGCCAGCTTCCGTAACATGGTGGACCCCATCACTCACGACCTCATCATCAGCCTTGCTCGCTATGTGCACTGCCCCAAAACAGTGAGAACACACTCACACACTCATGCTCTGACTGCTGGTCTGCCTGTCTGTAGCTGCGTTCCAAGCCCGTTGCATTCTGTTTGTTGCTTTTTCATTTCTTCACGGAAATGGAGAAAATGCTCTTATGTAGTATGATAAACTAGATATATACAAATACTACTAAATAAAATACGATATATGGACGATATACGATATGTGGACGATGCTTTAATTAATCAGTGATTTTACACTTTATAAGGTAACGAAGACAAATTCAAGGACGTGAAGAACTTAAATTTTAAATTAAACTCCAACAGCTTTGTTTTCTGCCATTTCCGTGGTGCTTTTTTTTTTTCCTTTGCGTCGTTCGTGTGCAGAGAACTGTGGGTAACTGAAGGCCTGGGACGATACCTCTGAACGTAGGCTGCATTTCTAGGCTGTATACAAAAGATCCTTCACTTTGAAATGGCCTGCTAGGCTTTGGAACGCAGCTTGTCTGTCTTTCTCTCTGCTAGCTGACTGTCTTTTTTCCATTTCTCCCTTTTTTTCTCTCCTTCTCTTTTTTTTAGGGCCACTGTTAAAAAAAAACAATAATAGACTTAGAGAATTAAGTCATATTTTTGAGAATAAAACCGTAATATTTCAAGAATAAATTCGTAATATTTTGAGAATAAAGTCGCAGAATTACGACATGAAAGTGGGATATTACCAGGAGAAGTAACAATGTTGTACAATGAGGGACGTAGAGGAGTTGGTAAAATTATAAGAAGAGGGTGTGTAGTTTCACAGAAAACAATGAGAACGATAATCAAAACGATCGATCCTGAAGCAGCCGAGGCCCCAGGGCGTTATGCCGTTGGCCTCCTTTGTCCTCAAAATATTGCAAGTTTATTCTTGGAACTTTACAATTTATTATTGAAATAGTACGACTTTAATCTCTAAATATTAAAAAAAAAATCTGATACTGATGTTTTGTTACTTGATTCAGAATCTTTCGAGAGAATCGCAGTCGCATCTAAGAGTAAATTATTTATTCAATTTGAATCGAAAACACGGTAGCACACAGAAAGCTCCTATCCCACATGCTGATCCATGTGACTATGACCAATTTGAACACTCATCAACTATTCTGGGTGCAGATTTTAATAAGATAAAGGGGTTAAAAACAAGGACTCTGTATGTAAACCTGCTGAGATGTGGGGTTTGATAGTACCTATTGATAGGGCTGACTATTCAGCACAGTTAAAGGCAAGTTTGTCTTGATTTAGACCTGCATTTGGATGATACTAATTGGTGTGAATTAGCTTCCAGTACATATTACATTAGCCTGATAACACCTGTGCCAAATGAAGAGACTGGCATTAATACTAATGGTGTTTGTGTCAGCTACCTATCTTATGTAAATTAATACTCTTTACAAAGTATTAATTCTAAAAATTAACACATACTGTCTTAGTTCACATTCCAGTGCTCTTATTGGTGATGTAGAGTGCTTAGTGACTTTATCTTCACCTAGAGCAGTAAATGATTTGCTAAGTTGTTGTTGGCTTCAGCTATGAGTGTAACCAAAGACTCACTGGGATTAATATCACTTTTAGCAGACCTATCTGAAATTGGAAAAACGTAAAAGATTTTTCCAATTTTTTCAAGTTTTTCTTGTATTTCACTTGAGGTCCTTTCATGATATTTGTGTGGTTTTGTGTACCAAAACGGTCATAATTAATTTTCATATGACCATTTTCCAACCCTTCTGTAACGCGGCTGTGACAAACCAGACGCTTATATAGACGTGGATATAAAATAGAGAAGGGGCTTTAATGTTTGAAGGGCAGTTCTAAGTTGATTAACCAAAGCCAAGTCAAAAGCATGAGAAGAATAAGCAAATGGACGAGGCAAAAATCGAACTCGAGATACAGGCTAAGGTCAAAATCCAAAAACCGAATCAGGCAAGCTGTACAGAAGGGCAGAGCAAAAAGAGCAAATCGAGAATCAGAAAAATAGGTCAAAGCACAATAAAGATGAAAACGCTCGGTTTGCACACGGGAATAATGGCAATACTTCTCAGCAAGTATGACAACCAAAGGAGTATTTATACAGATAAAGACAATCAAACACAGGTGAATGAAATTAGAATTCAGCTGAGGTACCTCTTACCAACTGTCCGTGACTTGGTAACAGAGGGCATGTGTTCATGACATGTTGGTCTGTGGAATTATGGGAAGTGGAGTCCAAAGATTTATTAGAAACGACGGACAAATCCAAAAGCGTGACACATTTCTTATTCATTAGAATGTTTTTGTCACTGTACCTGCAGTAACACTGACGTGGTGGTGGTGTGTTAGTGTGTGTTGCGCTGGTACGAGTGGATCAGACACAGCAGTGCTGCTGGAGTTTTTAAACACCTCAGTGTCACTGCTGGACTGAGAATAGTCCACCAACCAAAAATATCCAGCCAACAGCGTCTTGTGGGCAGCGTCCTGTGACCACTGATGAAGGACTAGAGGATGACCAACACAAACTGTGCAGCAGCAGATGAGCCATCGTCTCTGACTTTACATCTACAAGGTGGACCAACAAGGTAGGAGTGTCTAATAGAATGGACAGTGAGTGGACACAGTGTTTAAAAACTCCAGCATCACTGCTGTGTCTGATCCACTCGTACCAGCACAACACACACTAACACACCACCACCACATCAGTGTTACTGCAGTGCTGAGAATGATCCATCACCCAAATAGTACCTGCTCTGTGAGGGTCAGTGGGGGTCCTGACCACTGAAGAACAGGGTAAAAGGGGCTAACAAAGTATGCAGAGAAACAGATGGACTACAGTCTGTAATTGTAGAACTACAAAGTGTACCTATATAGTAAGTGGAGCTGATAAAATGGACAATGAGCGTAGAAACAAGGAGGTGGTCATAATGTTATGCCTGATCGGTGTATGTAAGTGTTGCCTGTTCCAATTGGCTGCTGCCCTCGAAAGCATTATAGGTTAAAACACTCCTTACATCTTCAGTGTCAGTGGGCGGGGCTAAAATGCTTTAGGCTGAATAGATTGACAGGTGTAAATGCACTGATTTTTTTCACGATAACCCAAAACCAGTGAATTTAAAACAGGCTAATTTCAGCATATTTCCCATATGAACTCCATGTACAGGGAAGTCAACAGTACATTTTGAAACTAACTGTGTTTACATGCTACATCAAGCTCTGTATGTTAAATAAGTGAGGACACTTCAGTTCCCCCTGATATGGGCCCTTTAAATGAAACCTGGTGCTTCAACGGTTCTTTAGCAAAGAAAATGGTTCTACACAGAACCATGAACACTCAAAGAACCCTTTCCACGATTAAAGGGTTCTTTGCATCATGAAAGGGTTCTTCAGATTTAAAATGTGCATGAATGTGCTGAAGATGGTTCTATATAGAACCCAAAAGGGTTCCTTCGTTGTTACAAGCTTGACATCGTAACAATAGAAGAACCCTTTTGGGTGCTATATAGAACTTTTTTCATAAAGGTTCTATATAGAACCTTCTACAGCACATCCTCCATCAATCTGAAGAACTCTTTCATGATGCAGAGAACCCTTTAATCCTGCTAAGTTCTTTGAGTGTTCCTGGTTCTATATAGAACCATTTTCTATACTAAAAAACCATTGAAGCACCATCTTTTTTAAGAGTGTACATGACATTACAGCCTCAAACACAGTAAGTTGTTACCATTATTTCCAGTGTTTTGTCTGTTACTTAAGTTAAGCTGCTTCCATGCTGACTGGATGCGAGTTAAGTACCCAGAAACACAGCCAGCCTTTCTGTTTCCACACACTCTGATTTGCTCTATAGGTTCCTCATCGTTCCTCCAGACTCTGTTAATTGTGAAGAGCATGAAGTCCACAGCCTCAGTGGCAGCAGACATGCAGTAATATAAAGCAGCAATCATAACCAGCCGTGCAGACATAAGCTGACTCTCTCACTGAACTATATATAGATCTTCAGCATCAGCCTCAGGATCATACCCACACACACACACACACACACAAACACAGAGGCCAGGCAGTATTACAAAAATAAAAAATAAAGGGTCAGTCAAAGGAACAGCAAGCAAATTTAAACGCACTCATAGTTTTAATGTGTGCTCCTCCCCTCAGGCACATACGCACATATGCACATACACAAAAGATCCTTTATACTGCGTGGGGTCTGAAGTTAATAAGCAAGCTGCAAGTAATGAAGTCGCTGCATATTTATATTCTCTCTATGAGCATTATTCATTATTTGCATGTGTGGGCGTGCATTTGTGTGTGTGTGTGTGTGCGCATTCTTAATCAGTGTTTTTGATGTGGCACAGTGCCCTCTTCTGCGAGCTCTGTTGTGTCCCATCACTGTGTTTGGCCGCGGCGTTGGCAGAGCTTTCAGTGGCTCATTGATTCTTAGAACAGAGCCCTTCATGAATGGAAATGCAGGAAGGGAAGAGAGGATGAAAGAGAGAGAGAGACACTCTGGTGAGGCATTAGTAGAAAACAGCCAGCTGAGCCGCAGTACATGACTAGCAAATGCTTTGAACAGTTATACACACATAAAGTCATAATGAGTTTTATTAAAACAAAAAACAAATCCCTAATTGCAGAGATTATGTTTCAGTAGTGATAATTATTAATGTTCCACACTGATTTTCAGACTTTGGAACACATTTACTTCAAAACAGTGGGATCTAACTGCTCACCATGTGGCCATGAGGGGCAGGGATGCAGTCTCACTTCCTGTTTTGAAATGCAGGGGTGTGGCTAATAAAAGGCTCTGCCCATAGACTAAAACTCTGGAGTCTTGGTAGCATTGTTTGAATAAAGTGCTTTTATTTAAAACTAACTTTTTTTATTTTATTTATTTAACTTCACTTAAAAACAACTTTGCAAAAAAATGATATTATTAATATTATTAATATATATTATGAATATATAAATTATTAATGTAGTATTATTTTCACAAGTTGAAATATAGGGGTTAGGGGGGTTTGGGCCAGACAC